TTTCATTGTCTATTTCATCAGTAGTTCATTTATTTTAAAAGTAACAACTTCTTTCAATGCTATTTCTTTAAATTACCAATAAAAGTACATTTAAAAAATTTTTATTTGAAAAACCAAAAATTTCCTTTCATTTTAATAGAAAAAATTTGATTAAATTTAAACGTAGAATTTTACAGTTTCTTCCATATGCAAATTTCAATTGAACCTAAATCTCTTCAGATGAGATTAATTTTATATCTTTTCTCAAGTAATCCTTATATTTAAAACTAATTTTGCCTAGAATTAAATCTTTTACAAATTCAAATATTCAATTAAATATCGAAATAACTTTTCCATAATATGCTTTTTGAATCAAAAATGAAAAAAAAAAATTTAAAAAATAACTGTGTAAGCAATAATTCTGAACAAATTATCAGTTTAGTAACTGTTTACTAAAACATTAATTTATTTTAATCACAATTCATATTTTTTTCATTCGTCACACCAATCTTCGACAAAATGATACCTTATGTTTACTCAAAGACATTTTTTTTTTTTTTTTTAAATTACAAACAGAAGAAATATCATTAAAATTGATTTTAAATAATTTTAGTTGATAAAAAAAGAAAGAAAATGTTCGAGAAAAAAGAATTTTGATTACTTCATAAGATTTTATTAACAGCACACATTCTGCTAAATTATTTTTTTATTTCATTTTTTATCCTAAAGATGATAATATATCTTAGAATCATTCATTTTTCAATTGCAACTTTCTCATTTTCACAATTTTTTTTAATGTAATTTCTAAAATTTTGCATTTCAAAGCTACGAAAAATAATCTTTTTACGATGTTTGAAGAAAAAAAGGAAAAAAAAAATGATTTCCTAAAATTTTCTCTTTATTTCCTATTAAAGACTTTAAAATTTCAGTGCTTTACTTTAAAAAAAAAAAAAAAAAAAACAAAGAAAAAAGCAGCGGTATAATTCCTTTCTTTTTTTAATTAAATTATTTTCATTTGAATATTTTAATATGTGATAACTAATTCTAATTTTTTCACTAATTTTGTAATAATATAAATTACAAATTTTTGTATCAAAAAAAATATTTAAAAAAAATTTTCCCATATGGAATAGTTTATTTCTTTTACATTGACAAACACAATTCTTCCATCTTTTCTTTCATCTCATATTTTCTTCAGGAAATTTAGTTTTTTTTTTTTTTTTTTTTGCAAAACAATGATTCATTAAAATCTTAGTATGTCTTATTACTATTTTAAGCAGACATCATTAGTCTCTTATCTATAGCAAAATCATAAAACTATTCTTTAACTCTTAGATTTAAAGAATTTATGACTTTGATGATTGGAATAGATTTCAAATTTTTAGATATTTTATTTCTTGACTTATCATTTATCTTATCTTTTTCTTTTTTTTTTAGAGTTATGCATAAAAAGGTTTGAGCAATATGAGAAATGCCATCCTGATAATAGCTGATTATTAAGAAATTAAGTTTTTAACAGATAAAATGTTTCCATTGTTTTAGGTTTATAAATTTTAAAAATGAATATAATTGTTTTCAAAGTACTGATGTAAACATAATTTACTAGAGAGAAAGAGGAGATGATCTACTATAAAATTTATTTCTTCACTCGGAATTATTTCGTGACTTCTTCTCTCAGAATTATTGCTAAACACTTGAATAACAAAAATATTTATGCAAAATTGACATTTTCCTCATTCGCTGATTATTCCGATTTAATTTTATTCGAAAATAGATAAAATTGTTAATTTTTAAAATTTTTGAAACATTGGGAAGACAATGAAATTATTTTTGAAAAATCGGAAAATGAAATTCTTTAGTGTACACTCTTCATTGAAGTGCCTGCTGCGCTCTTTTTAAAACCTTATGCGATAATAAATTTCCATTATTTTTGTTTACTCTTTCCGCCTGCATATTTTCATGTATTGATTAAAAGACCAAAGACACTTTGAGAAAGGGAAAAACGGGAGAGGGGGGAGGAGAGGGGTCAAGTGATATTAACGGTACTTAGATGCTCCATTTAAACTTATCATTAAGACATAAACAGGAAAAGTAAACTTAATGCTAAAAAAATTTTTTTAATCCTTCTTGAAATCATTTTCTACTTTAAAAATTTCTTCATAGTTACTTATTGAGGAATTTTTAATTGTTGTTTATTGTTGAAACAAACTATTTTTTTTTCTTATATTTTACAAAATTTTTTAATCATTCAAAAAATCAAAATGAAACAAAAAATGCACTGAAATACCAATAAATTCTCGAACATATTAGAACACTAAATTACTCGACGATATCGTAATACTGTATTTCTTATATTGATAATTTTTTTTTATAACTAGCAGATAATTTAGAAAAAATTTTTTAAGCCAAAAAAACAAAACTGCCGAAATGAATAATGAAAATTTGGAAGAAACATAATTTAATATGATGTGCGGAAAATTACTTATCATATGAAAATAAAAGGAAAATATTGAAAAGAACACACAACTAAATTATGATTCCAATTTTTTCTTTTTTTTTTTTTTTTTTTTTTTTTTGCAAATATCAATTTTGCTGTAATTTCAGCATAGATATAAAGGATTAAACATATCTTTCCATCCTTTTTCATTTTTATTTTGCAGTTGAAAATAATTATTTTCTATGGCTTTGTCCACAAATATCTGTCATTGAATATTATTTTGTCACATTTGTTTTCATTTCTTCCATTTCTTCCTAAATGTAATGAAATTATTATTTATTTTTGTTTATTTTCATTATTATAAGTACAATTACAATAATTATTATAGTCATTAATAATGAATGATCGATATTTTAGGTTCTTCATTTCATCGAACTAATCAATAATTTTTGAAATTATTGATCATTTTGTTCGATGATTTTTTTTTTCTTTCTCAGAAATAAGAAAAAAGCAAATGAAAAAAATAAATAAATAAATATCCCAAAAATATTTGTCATTGTGTATCATTTGCTTTGCTCATGAAAATAAATGGTTCTATAAGTTTATAAGCAAAGAAAAATTGTTAAGCGCATTTGTCTTATGGTACAATAGTTTGCTTCTAGGATAGTAAAATTATTGCTTGTCATTTCAATTTATTTGAACCAGAAAACAATTTCTGCTTCTAATTAGTTGGCATTTTCACTATTTAAAAAAAAAAAAAAATGAAAATGCTCGTAAAATATTTTAAGAACGATTTTTAAATTAATATATTCACCAAGTTGAAAATAATTTGAAGTTGTTGTGTGCTTTAAAAAAAAAAAAAAAAAAAAATTTGTAGTATAGCAGTGCCAGTCAATAATTTTAATTAAAACATTGATTAGAATGGAACTTTTGAGTTTATTTTTGATACTGAAATTAATGTTTTGTCAATTTTAACAATGGCAAGTCATTTGCGCATAAAAAATCAATAAAATATGTAAAAGAAAAAGGGAAGTTTGAAAAAAGAAAAATGTTTTAGTATGCTTTTAATTGAAGTATTATTATTATTTGAAAATAACTATGTAAGAAATTTTTTAAAGTAATCGCAATTCTTTACTCTTAAATCACAACATTGGAAGTTTCAAATGTTCGGTGATAAATTTAAAAATTTTCAGACTAAAAAAATTTTTTAATTTAATTCTATGATTTAATTATTATATATGGCATCAAAATATTGTGACAATAACAGTTGCAACAATTATATGTATTATTTACTTTGTTTGTATTTTAATATGAAATATAATTTCGACCATTTAAAACAGAAAGAGAAAGAGAAAGGGAGAGAGAGAGAAAAAAAGCACTAAAAAATATTTTCTACCCAACTAATAATTATATGCAACAAAAGGGACCACCGTGATGTCTTTTCCTCAAAGGGACAATTTTTTGAATTTCAATGATAATTTTTCCATTCCAATTTTGTTACGAGTAAATAGTTCCATCCATTGGTTAGCTTATTTGCATTAATATTTTATAGCTTCTCGTCGAGAACACTTATAACGGAACTTTTCATGCGTAATTATTATTAGAGATTTATATTAAAAAAGATGAAAAATAATAAATTTTAAATAGCTAAAATTATAATATTTATTGTACATTCACACAACACTTTTTATTGCCTCACATTTTTGAAAAAAACTTTTACATTAAATTTTGTAAGTTAAAATGATTACATCTGCTAATATTGTACTATTTGTATATTTAACTGAGAAAAGCAATAAAATTAAAATAAGATCAATTTAACAGTTTTATTTGTGGGTGGGGGGGAGTTTCTTGATTAAATATAAAATTTAGATTTGTTTGATAAAGTTATTATGATTATTGATAATAGATAAGTAAGTGAATTTGCATTGAAAATAAGTGTTTCAATGCAAAATAAGAATTGCTTATATAGCTAATTAGAATATTTCTTATTTTTTCTTGAAAGCTCTGAAATCAAAAACATTTTATTTGTTTTAAAAAAATTGCAACCTTTCAGAAAAGAATAAAAGTTTCATAGTGTTCACAGAATTATTTATTTTTCTATAAATTTATATCTGAAAAGTAATATGCCATAAAAATTCCATCCATCCTGAAAATCTTATTTTGTTTATTTCTATTTCAACTAATAATAAGTAAATATCCGTTTCTCGAAGAAGTTTGTAGGGTTTTTTTTTTTTTCTTTTTTGCATTACTCACTCTTGCCACAATTTTCAGTTTAATTGGTATCGAATTAAAAAATAAAAATAAAATAAAATAAACATTTTTTTTTTTTGAGATACGAAAAAAAAGAATAGTCTTATTGATGCCATCATTAGAAATTTTCGTAAGAAAGATTTGCTTCAAATTTCAAATATGTTTTTTTTTTTCTTTGAGAAAGATAAATTATAATGAATTTTTAGTGCTTTCAATTTTTGTTCACATATTTCTTTATTAATCATTTTTAAAGCCAAAAAATAATTTATGCTATTAATTTTAGATAAATGATAGTATCACTTACTGATAAATTTACTTCATTTTCAGTCTTTAAATGGACTGCGAACATCGTGTTATATTAAATGTGGGAGGAATTCGACACGAAACGTATACTCATGTACTTAAAAAAATTCCAGCTACAAGACTTTCTAGGTTTTCTTAAATGTTTAATATTCAAATTTATGTGAGTAATAATTTTTCATTCATATAAGTATGTGATTTAAGCAAAATTTAAAAATGTTTAGTATCTTTTCGAATGTTATACACTTAATTTTTAGGTTGACACCAAATTTAGCAAATTATGACCCTGTACTGAATGAATATTTTTTTGATCGTCATCCTGGTGTTTTTTCAATGATTCTAAATTATTATCGGACAGGTGAGCAATTTTTTAAATGTAAATTTAGAAAATGCTTTCAAAATTTGTAGTTCGTTCATTCTTCATACATTTTTTTTTTTTTTAATTAATTAATTTGTTTACTACAAGGAAAGCTACATTATCCGACCAATGTTTGTGGTCCTTTATTCGAGGATGAATTAGAATTCTGGGGTCTAGATGCAAATCAGGTAGAGCCATGCTGTTGGATGACTTATACACAACATCGGTAATTGTTTTAAAATGATAATCTGTAATTAATATTCAAATGCTAACTTAATTTAGAATAAAATTTCTCCTCCAAAATACTCCAAATTTTTCTGTCATATTTTCTATAAAATATAAGAAAAAAATGATTGAAAGAAAATTATGCCTACAAAATGAAGAAAAGGAATATTTGAGATAATTTTATTAGTTATATCAGATATATATACCTATATATTTTTTCAGGTTCATTAAATCTATCAAAAATATTGCTTTTAGAGATACCCAAGAAACTTTGGCAGTTATCGAAGGTTTAGATTTGGATGCCGAACCACCAACCCAGGAAGAAACTGCAAAAAAGTTTGGCTGGGAAGATGATTATTACTCAGGCAATTTATCAAAATGGCAGCAATTGAAACCACAGATATGGGCGCTCTTTGATGAACCTTGGTCTTCTCAGTATGCTAAGGTAGATTTAATTTAATTTATATATTAACTAAATAAGAGAAAAATATGCCATAAGAATGAAATATTTTAAAATAATCTGAGTTTATTCAAAGAGTTTTTTTCTTACTTATGGAAATTTTGAATTCATTATATTTCAGCGGCATTTTTTTTCTCAGTTATTTTATTTAAGTAAACAATAAAAAAAAAAAAAAAAAAAAAAACAAAAATTATTTACGCTTATCGATTGCTCATCCTTGTACAATTTTGATAATTTAATTAGTAATAGTGAAAAAGAAATGTTATTGTTATTGTTGTTGTTGTTGTTGTTGTTTATTTCTCAAGGGTTGCATTTATTTTATTGCATGTCTGAAATTGCTGAATGATATGCTAAGCATGCCACATATTTGTTGAAAGCTTACTGGAACTATGCTTAATTAAATTACTTACATTAAATGCAAAAATAATAAAACTTAAATCATTCATCGGTTGCTAACGCTCACACTGCAACTGATATTATTTAGATCACAAAGAATAAAACTCTGAATGATTTTTCCAAGTTTATTTCATTGAAATTTTTTTAAGTTTTAAATTGAAAGAAATTTGAATAATGCAAGCTTTTCACAAGCAATATGCTTATCTTAGATAAATTTAACTAACTTCTGCAGTGCTTTCTCTAACAGTTTGTTGTTATCATCAAATGAATGTGCTGAAATGGCTTTCAGATGATTTCATCTTCTTCTGTATTTTTCATTATTTCAAGTATTATTTCATTTGTTCTCAAAACACATCCTGCATTCCAGATACCATCAATTACAGGTCAGCAAAAAATTTCTTGCATTTCAGGAAAAAAAAAAAAGAATTTAATTATAATAAAAAGATTTTAGTGAGCAATTAAACTAATTTCTATCACACTTAGAAATAATAAAATTCAATTTAAATAAATTTGAATCTCTCATTTGCTTATATTTTATATTGCAATAATTTTTAATATTTTCAGTGTCCTATAATATGGGAATTGGTAGCGATGGTACCCAATCGATAGGTACCTTTAAGCAATGCACCAGTGCACATCCTACATTCTTCTACATTGATCTCATATGCAATATATATTTTAGCATTGAACTTGTTAGTGCATTAGTATCTACCTGTCTGCTTGTGATAATGATAAACAATAATATGATAATAATGATAAGATAGGAAGCATTTGCTTGATTGTGATAAAAAATACATTATCAGATTGATTATATTGAAATTAATGAACAAAAGCAATCTACTGTATGAAATGTGCTTAGTCATTTTAAATTAAAATTTGTTTTTTAGAAAAGGTAGTTTTCATATTAATGAATTATCAAATGCTGAATGAATATCATGTAAAAATCAAATAAATTAGTTAATTTTTATTTGCAAATTTTTAGATTATTCGTGTGATATTTGCGCCATCTTTACAACGATTCTTCAAATCACCGATAACAGTTGTTGATCTATTAGCAACAGGATCATTTTATTTGGATTGGCTGGTGACCAGCATTATAAGCGATCAAACTAGCTCAGATTCTATCGATTTCCTATCTATATTATGTGTTCTAAGGCTATTCAAGCTAACTCAACATTTCAGTGGGCTTAAAATACTCATACAAACATTTAAGGCAATTTAAAAGTTCCATAAATTAAATTTTAGTACAAACTAATTTCAGCATTACTAACAATTCGTCTAATTAGCACTGATGCAAAAAAGACAATATCGATTGTATCCCATATTGATGATCTAAACTAGTTTTTAAGTGAAATTACAGATGAAATTCATCAAATTCAAATTTTCATTCAAATATTTCAAAAATTTTTTCTCTTTAACTTTTATCTTTTATTTTTGCTATAGGCATCTGCACAAGAGCTATTATTACTTGTATTTTTTGTGTTATTAGCAATTGTTATATTTGCTGCACTTGTATATTACGCTGAACGAATTGAAAATAATCCGGAAAATCAGTTCACTTCTATACCTGCCGGATTGTGGTGGTAAGTTTATTCATTTCTTATTTCATCTCTTTTTGTCCTTCACTGAAAAATTATTATCGTTTCATTTGACAGATTTATACACTCTTTAAAATTCAATTATCATTCAGGGCAATTGTAACGATGTGCACAATTGGATTTGGTGACATGGTAAGTAGTTTTGAATTAGTATAATGTCAAATCTACTACAGTTCAAATGAATTAATTAGGTTTCTCTCTGTGTTATGTTATTTTCATTTGCCTTAAAATTAATCTCAAAGTGAAATTATAGATGAAATTCATACTTTTAAATTTTCATTCAAATATTTCGGAGATTTTTTCTTTTTGCTTTTATTTTCCAATTATTATTAACAAATCATTTTCCATTTGATTTTTTTCTCTCCCTCTCCCTGACTCTCTCTCTCTCTCTCTCGTCTACTTATTTAATTTATTAAATGTTTGTAAATTTCTCAAGAACAATTCGTCATTTAGTTTACATTAATTTACAGGTACCTAAAACTTATTTGGGTATGTTAGTTGGCTCATTATGTGCTCTTATGGGTGTATTAACTATTGCATTACCAGTGCCAGTTATCGTTGCTAATTTTTCCAATCTTTACTCTCATTCACAAGTAAGTTTTTTTTTTTTTTAATTTTGTCTTAAATTGTTTTAAATTTTCCTTTTTTTAAAATGCTACATACCTTTTATTAGTTTCTACAAGAATTTTAAAAAAAAATTGATTTTTTAAATTTCTTTTAAATTATTCAATGATGTTTTTAAAGATTTAAGACAAATATGAATTGTGGATTATTTTGCAATATGTATTATATACCATTTCTTTTTAATTTTTTATTAAAAAAAAATTTTTCTTTTACTTTTTGTAAAAACTAATAAGAGGTGTATAACACAATCCATATTGTTTTAAATTTTCAAAAACATTGAATAATTTGAAAGCTTTGAATAATTCAAAACCAAAAGCAATAAAAAAATAAAAATTACTTTAAGTGATATATTAGTGATTGTTGATCTTTTTTCAATTTTTAGAAATGACATTTAATTGATCGATTTTTTTTTTTACTTTAATAGGCTCGTGCAAAATTACCAAAAAAGCGAAGGCGAGTGTTACAAGCTCATGAAATTAAGACATCACTTATATTTCCTAAATCAATGAAGAAATCACAATTAGAAGGAAGTAAAGTTGCTTAATTAATTATTTACAAGTTTTATTTATAATTCTCATAAATATTATAAGTAATCAAAAATAGTTTACTTTTTTACTTCAATAAGCTTTTTATTCTGCTAATGATTTTTTGATGATGAATTTATTAATTCATTCAAAGTATATTTTCATTTTTAGAATCACTGACGTTCACACAGTTCAATGTTACCGAACACCAAAGTGAAATTCCATGGTCTGAAGCCTATAGTCATTCCTCAAATAATTTTTGTTTGAAAAAAAACTTAATGATTGCCCAGTGATGGATTAATGAGAATCATCAATTACTTATACAAATCAATCAGTCATCAATTACTTATACAAATCAATCAGTCATCAATTACTTATACAAATCAATCAGTCATCAATTACTTATACAAATCAATCAGTCATCAATTACTTATACAAATCAATCAGTCATCAATTACTTATACAAATCAATCAGTCATCAATTACTTATACAAATCAATCAGTCATCAATTACTTATACAAATCAATCAGTCATCAATTACTTATACAAATCAATCAGTCATCAATTACTTATACAAATCAATCAGTCATCAATTACTTATACAAATCAATCAATACATTTTATATTTAATTTCTACGATAACAACACTCAATGCCATTTAAAAATGTTTTTTTTTTTTCATTTGCGCTTTAAATGTGATTTTGTTTGTCACCGCTTACAGATTCGTTTTGATTTCTTTCTCGTCAGTAAGTGTGCTTTTTCTCGATAATTGTTTATTTTGGTTTAAATCTAAAGATGTCTTTCATCTTCTTTTAATCACTGATAAGAGATGAAACTTGCACATATAGTTAGAATACAGCTATGAAAATCAATCAATTACCAATTTATCAATTCTGTTTTTGGGGATTTTATAGATTCCTAAATTATGCTTTTATTCTGTTTACTTGTTAATGCATTTGTACAGTGGTTGATAACTTTTTTGTTTGTTTGTTTGTTAAAAGCTTATGGCACTGAAGAAGAGAATGAATTTGATATTTTAAAGAATTGAAATCATTATTACTTACTTTCAACGGATCTAAATGCACAGAATAAGTATAATAGAAGTATATTAATTTAATATGTGTTAAAATTTCGATTAATTAACAAATAAATGCAAATAAATGAAAAAATATGCAGTTTTGCTGATATAGCAGTCTGTTTTTAATAAATTTTAAGGAATCAATTTAATATGAAATGATTCCTTACATCATTATTGCTTCTAAATACGAAATTTTAATTTTATCATTTAATCCTTCGAATAATGCATGCGCTTATCAGACTTGCAGAGGATGCATGCGCTTATCAAATCTTTAGAATGCATGCATGCGCATATCAATCCTTTCTTATAATTATGCAAGAGCTTATCAAACCTGCAAAATGATGCATGCACTTATGGAAGATTCATAAAAGAGGCATAGAAATTAATAAAATAATTAATTATTCATTGAACCAACCGAAATAAACGAATAATTGAGATCATAATTAATTACTAAATATTTAAATTCTTTATAAACTTGAAAGGAATTCCGAAAATAAAGATATCTCATTGTTATCAAAGACGACAAGTTTGATTTTTAATTTATTCATATAGAAAAGGAAGCTTTGCCATATTTGGGATAATATAACATTTATTGACATTGTCACTTTAGTTTTTTGAGATCTTTGTTTATTAATAAACAAATTAATTAATAAATAATTCAATTTAGGAACAAAATCCTAAGATTTTATAACTGATAACAATTATTTCTTTTATTATTTGTTGTGGCTTACTAGAGTTATCTTTAGATGAGCTAAGAAGAAACTATGAATATTTAGTAAGGATTGTAAAAATAGAGTACTGCTAAGAGTAACGCTAAATTCAAGGGATGAAGCAAAGAATAAAGAATGTCGCAGCAAATTCAGTTCTGATATTCAAATGCAAATTTTAAACACAAAAATACAGATCTGCTAAAGTAAAAGTATGCTTAAAGTAATTAGTATTTACAAAGGTGTGAAATGAGATGACACATTTGCAGGTGATTTCGGTAATATCCGTATTTTTTGTGATCACATCAATAATTTGTTTCTGCTTGAAGACACATCCAAATTTCCGTATTCCGGATATCGATATTGAACTCAGGAATGATTCTACTCATGCATTACTTGTAACAAAAGTCGCTACAAGGTAAAAGTCTTCACATATTTGAATTACATCATCTAGCATTCAAAAGGTATACAAAAATTTCAACTCCAACATTTTTCTCAAAATTATGAGTTTATAAAATGCTCTAATATGTTTCTCGAGAAAGATTTCTATATGATTATGTGAACATAACATTTTGAAGAATTCTTGATCCAGAAACAAAAATCAAAATCAGAAAATTTCATGATTTAAAGGTTCAAATCACACAATATTATTGATAGAGATGCTATTTCAATGATACACAATTTTATAAAATATAATCAAAGAAGAAGTGAAGAAGAAAGATGAACAATAACTACTGAACTTGATTAGAACACTGCTATGAATTCGAGTTGAAAATTAAAATTTTGAAAGGATTAAAAATTAGCTGAATTATTGGGCTAGCAAAAAGGAATGTAATTTATTTGTTCCTAATCGATGAGATGGATGTAAGATCAAACATGATCATCTAATAGATCAATATTCATTTAGTTTGATCTAATAATTGACTTATCTTGTTTTTGATCTTGATTATAATGTTTAGCTCAATTATAACTGCTGAAATTGAGAATTTTGTTTTACTTGTATCGATCAATCAGTAAATCATTAAGAAAAGAACAAATAATTCCAGTGATAGCTGCATAATAACAAAACTATTAAAAAGAAATAAATAAAATTTAAATTTATTTTTAAATTTATATTTCAGAGCACATCCAGCGTTTTTTTACATTGAATTTGTCAGTAACATATGGTTTACAATGGAATTATTCATTCGCTTTGTATTTTGCCCGAAAATATCACAGTTTACCCGACAGGCAGTCAATATTATCGGTAAAATATTCTTTCTTTCTTCTCTCTCTAAATACAATTATGCATTTATTTCCGCTATTTTTTTTGAAAATGGTACGAGTACTTAGCACAATTATTTATAGATTTTTAAGAAAATTTAAAATATTCGTTTTCAATTATTTCTAAGTTTTTTTTTTTAGACTTAATAGCGACATTATCGTTTTACATCGATTGGGCGCTGGATCGAACAATAACTGGCGCTAATCGCGACACTGTTGAATTCTTTTCCATTATTCGAATTTTGCGACTGTTCAAGTTGACGCAACATTTTTCGGGACTTAAAATTCTGTTCCAAACATTTAGGGCATCTGCTCAAGTATAATTTGACTAAAATAATTTATAAATGTTTGCGTAACGCAATAAATTGAAAAATGAAAGTATTGTCGCATAATTAAATTCATAAAATTAATTCGACATCTTCCACTTTCCTAAACTCATTGAAAGAATGAACTGTTCATAAAGAAATAATAACTCACTAAATTCATTTCAGTCATTTCGTTTACAGGAATTATTGTTGCTGGCGTTTTTTGTGCTACTTGGTATAGTAATATTCGCCGCATTGATTTACTATGCGGAACGAGTAGAAACAAACCCAGACAATCAATTTCACTCCATTCCGGTCGGACTATGGTGTGAGTGTTTTTTGTACTACTTGGTATAGTAATATTCGCCGCATTGATTTACTATGCGGAACGAGTAGAAACAAACCCAGACAATCAATTTCACTCCATTCCGGTCGGACTATGGTGTGAGTGTTTTTTGTACTACTTGGTATAGTAATATTCGCCGCATTGATTTACTATGCGGAACGAGTAGAAACAAACCCAGACAATCAATTTCACTCCATTCCGGTCGGACTATGGTGTGAGTGTTTTTTGTACTACTTGGTATAGTAATATTCGCCGCATTGATTTACTATGCGGAACGAGTAGAAACAAACCCAGACAATCAATTTCACTCCATTCCGGTCGGACTATGGTGTGAGTGTTTTTTGTACTACTTGGTATAGTAATATTCGCCGCATTGATTTACTATGCGGAACGAGTAGAAACAAACCCAGACAATCAATTTCACTCCATTCCGGTCGGACTATGGTGTGAGTGTTTTTTGTACTACTTGGTATAGTAATATTCGCCGCATTGATTTACTATGCGGAACGAGTAGAAACAAACCCAGACAATCAATTTCACTCCATTCCGGTCGGACTATGGTGTGAGTGTTTTTTGTACTACTTGGTATAGTAATATTCGCCGCATTGATTTACTATGCGGAACGAGTAGAAACAAACCCGGACAATCAATTTCACTCCATTCCGGTCAAACGTGGTGTGCTGTGTTTTCCCAGGATAAAACTAATTATTGCCCATGTACAAAGCATAAGTTTATTTATTTAATACTAGAATTTAATGAATTATCCTAGTTGCTTAATATCTTATTAAATAGTGTAAAAAAATTGAGAGGACTTCTCGGAAACAGATTCAAAATATGATTCAAATTTGCTCAAACCTAAATTCACAAAGCGAAGTTCAATTTTTTTGGAAATGTCACCTTTTTATATTTATAGGGGCAATCATCACTATGTGTACAATTGGCTTTGGAGATATGGTAAGTACTCAGTTTTATTACCCAACTTTTGATATTCTGTTCAGAATTTACGTAAAAAATAATAATTTAACAAAATTTGAAAGGAATTTTTTGACGAAATGAAAGTTGGTCAATTGTTTTACTAAATATGAAAATCAGAATCGCTAAGCTCTTTTTTTTATTAAAGAATTGCATATGCTAGTAAACTTAGTCAAGCCTGACTCCGATCTGAACTGATTATAATTTGCTACGCTGAGGAAATGCACGATATTCGTAGGCATTTTTGGAACATTGTTGGTTTTTTTAATGGAAATGCATAATTGTGTTGGGGTTTAGGCTTAGGCTTAGGCTTATGTTTAGGCTTAAGCTTAGGCTTAGACTTAGAAGTGCATAACTTTGTTTGTTTTTATTAATCAAAGTGCATAATTAGTACCTGTGCATAAAATTACGAATGCATAATTTTTTTTATAGAAGTGTGTAACTTTGTTGGATTTTTTTTTAATAAAAATAAATAATTTTCTTGGTTTTTAGGCTTAGAATTAGACTTAGAAGTGCATAGAATTAGGAATGCACAATTTTTGTTTTTTTTTTTTTTTAATAAAAATGTATAATTTTGTTGATTTTTATTAATGGAAGTGCATAAACTACTAAATTTATCTCAGTGTCAACTAAGTGAGTTCAACCATTTTCGTTCATCGAAATTCCATTCATTTCCTTACTTATTATTAAGCCCTAATATTACATGCACTTTAACTAATTCTGTTTAACTCAAATTTGGTAATAAAATTATTTAAAACAAAAAAAAAAAAAAATGTGGTCAAATTGATTTAGGTGCCAAAAACATATTTGGGTATGTTGGTCGGTTCACTTTGCGCGCTAATGGGAGTATTAACAATTGCACTTCCAGTTCCGGTCATCGTCTCCAATTTTGCAATGTTTTATTCACATGCTCAAGCTCGGTAAGATTTTAATTTCTTTATTTTTCTCTGATTGATTGAATAATAAAATGATCTCTTTCTCCTTCTCTCTCTCTCTCTCATCTATGAAACACTCAATATTCTCATAAATTCCTCCTAGGTCGAAACTACCGAAAAAGCGACGGCGTATTTTACAACCACATGAAATTAAACCAATGGTTGGAAGATTAGCAAGCATAGCACTTTTCAACAGTTTGGCTCACAAAAATGTGTCACCAATTCATTCGTCACATTTGCTGGGTGCTTTAACTGCTACCACTCCATTACTGATGTATCCACCGACAACAGATTTCACTGCTAATCTACAATCAACCAAAAGTAAAAGCCATCATCATTGCATGAACAATAAAAACAATATTTCGGATGGTAATAAAAACGATTAATGTATAAAAGAAGTATATGATTACTGTGCTATTATCATTACTAAATTTGTTGTTTTAATTTATATGGAAGAAGTGATAAAATTTCATCCATCTCAAATTGTTATTTTTTAAACAGCAATTATTTCTCTTAGAAATCTCTTGTACTTCACTTTAAAATATATCAAAAGTCTGATAATTATGTATTATATTAGATAAGCTAAAACTGTTTTTCTTTTTTCTTTTTTTTTTTTTTTTTTTGTAATGAATTCATTATTGGTTTGGTCGAAGGAAGATTAGAACAGAATAGGTATTTCGAGTTGAATTTAATAACGAAAGGAGAAAGTAGTATCAACGAAAAGATGGAAGGGGAATGTTTGGTTAATTTATTTGCAATTAATCACTGTCTTTTCCACTACAAAAAAGCTAAAGTAAATTTTGTGAAAGAAGGAAATTTCAAATAAACTATTAATTAACTCATCTAAAATAATAAAGAGATATGTCTAACTAATCATCTCTCTTTTCATTTTTGAAAATAATAAATAAATTTATTATTATCCCTTTATCGATTTAAGTTCTAGTGCATTCAGAAAAAATTTTTTTTTGCTGAATTTACGGTTTATTTGAAAAGTTTCAATTCAGCACTTTATAGTTTAGTGTTCTCTAATTCGATAATAACTCAAATTAAGCATAGCAGCATACGATAATGGATAATGTAGGTCGGTCGATAAAGGAATAATAATAGCAGTAAGTGACAATAACAATAATAGTGATAATATTAAATAATAATGATAATATTAGTATTAATAATAAATAATAACTATAATTATTACATTAATAATAATCTCTAGTAACAATAAATAATAATATAATGGCGACATAGTAAAATAATAAATAAACTAAAGTATCCGGTGATTTCAAGAATTTCTTGCTGGAAATAAAATTTCAAGCATAAAGACGATAGATGGATTTTCAAATTTTTATAAAAATGGTACCAAAGCAGTTAATCTTGCATACTTTTCACAAGATGTTTCACGTTTTTCAGAAATTTTACAAAACTGAAGTTTGAAGTTTGACACATCGGAATTGCTCAACTATGTGAGTTATTGTTTAGAAGTTAACGGGTATCACATTAAAATGAGGTATTTATTAAATCTCATAAACATCCAAAAGAAAAAATTATTTGTCACATGAAGTTGAGAGGGAAAATATTTCATGAAAAATGATGAAAGTATGAATGAGAATTGAGATAACTCAAGAACTGAGATTAAAACAACTTTTAGATGAATTATGTTTACATGAATTCACTTGTCAAAGGTGCATTTTCAATTTAAATTTCTTATCAAATAGATAGTTCTACTTCGTCAAACTACTTCATGATAATTTATCAAAATTAATCTTATTTGATTATATAAAACAATAATATGTTATATCACAGTTCGTTGATAAAGTTACAAATAATTTCGTTTGAAAGTATGTAATAGTTTATATTGTTATAATTTGAAATTCTGAATTGAAAATTATATCAAATAATTAATTCATTTTTTATTTTCGCTTCTATAAACGTCTCTTTTTTTTGGTTCTTTTATGCTTAGAAAAATTTGCAAATTTCATATTTGAGCTGTACAAACTTTGGAACTTTAAAATTTGCATTTTCACAAGCAAATGTTTGCTTTTTTTATAGCTCATCTCACTTTCCATATATGATAAACCTCTTTTTTTTCTCATGCAAAATATTTCCATCTTTGAAAGTTTTTAGTGAATCGTTTAAAGTTGTAAAACGTTGCTCAGATATAAAATTTAGATTGGAATAAATTTATAAATGAAAGAAAAAAATATATTCACAGTCTTACTCATATAGCTTAGAACACATATTTATTCTTTTTTTTTCGCTTGAAATTCTGGAAATAGAAAAAAAAAAACATTGGTAAATTAGATTTAATTCTTTAATGGCAAAATTATCCTTTTTCCAAATTGATCGATCGATCTATAAAATCACTTTTTCAGTTCTGTGGATCAATCGCTATCAGAAAATTTATCTCATTCTCTCATAAATTTAATTGTTATTAATGATTCATAATTGTTCTTAATTAATGCAATTTTTTGATTAAATGAAAGTTTGAAGAATTTTCATTTTACTTTTCATTGTTCGACAACTAATAGCCTTGCATACTTGCGTTTTTTTTGGAGAAAATTGCTGCAGTTTTAAGTTTATTTTACTTTCGTCTAAATGTAAAGAAATGAAAATATTAATTTAGATGTGAAAAAGAAACTTTTTTTTTGCTGAGCAGAAAATTGATTTGTTATCCATTTAGCATTACATAGCTAAATTAATGCCTCAGTAATATTAATAACTTCAGACTTTATATTTTTTTTTTTTGTTTGACAGATAGATGAGTACCTTCAGAATTTTAAGTTTTATTACTGAAAATTTGCTTATGAAACTTTGTTTACTTTGAAACTTTGCTTACATCTTTAACAGCTCAAATATGGATGAAAAATATATTTGTCTAGCAAATTTTAAGTAATTTTATATTGTTAACAGAAATGCAATAAATAATTATTTGGTGCTTGGAAGTATTTGTTACAGAAGGATAAAATTATTAACGCTGTATAAAGTTTTGTTTTCAATGCTTTTCTCCTTGAGACAACAGATGACAGTTTGACATTTATTTAATCCTTAAATTAATTTGTTCTTAAATTTACCTTATGCATGGAAAATTGCATTAAAATTATGTGCAAGTAGTAAAGATCAGTGTCAAAATTTAGTTGAAAAGAGAGATGGGTTTTTTTTTAAAGTTATTTTTAATCAATTCTATGAAATACACTAATGGTGACATCAGAAATCTTAGATATGATGCCAAGCACAAAGATAATAGCAATTCTTTAATTTTAAATTTGATGAATTTTCAAGTGATAAAAAAAATTCTACACCAAAATTTTATTGTCATTGCTAAATTAATTTAGATTTTTCTCCAAAATAAAGCTTTCATTTGATTGGAAAAAAATGCAGATGTATCTAAGATATAAACTTTTTTCAAATGAATTTTAAGCTGTACTATCAATTTATGCCGAATATTCTTTTTCTCTTTTTTAAATTCTATATATACATAGACAGAAGAACGTAAAATAATTGTATGTATTCACATCACAATTTATTCCTTTCCGAAGCAAAATCAAAATTCATTAAAACTAATCGATGCTACAGTTTGATTATTCACGAAAACATCATCAATGCATCACGAAAAAACAATCATTTCCGGTATGAGACATCAGTAAACGAATGAAGTCATAACGGAATTGAGGAGATGCTTCGAGAGAATTCATATATCATTTTGATAACAGAATGTGATCAACACAGAATTTAATTGCACTGATCATCAAGTCAAAACTATATTCAGCTTTTAAAATCATTCATAAATTCCATTCCTTGTGATGATGATACGCCTTCTTCTCCTTTGCTAAATTGCAGATGTCTTTTTCGTTGATTTTATCAAAACATTATTTAACTATTTGCTTGACCATATGCTTCTCATATAAGCATTGATAATGCATTTCCTTTAATAAAATCTAAATTTTCTCCACTATTCGGACACTCTCTCACTTCGTTGTTATCATTTTGCATTTCACAGAATTAAGCATTCATATTTGTGCAAAAAAAATTTTTTTTTTTCCTCGTAGCTTTTTTATTTAAAATTTTTGCTACAAATTTATACATCTATTCTACACTTAATTTTATTCATTCATAATTTAGCATTTAAATTGGACAATCTGAATTTTTAATTAAAATCAAACGTAATTAACAGATAGTAAAATGACGGATTGATTTTTTTTTTTTCATGCTATTTTCTATAAAAAAAAAAAAAATTACACTCTGTCTGCGTTAAGCTCATCTCAACGATTTGTTTCCTAAATGATCACAAATTTATTGGAAACGTCACAGTTTCACATTCAAATGAATTTCTATTATTTTGAATGAATTTTTTCATCTCGAAAAATAGGACAAAGGTTTTGCTCACAACTTACTTTTATTTTAATAACTTACACTTTCGCTTTTTTTTTTTTTTTTTTTTTTTTTTTTGGAAAGTAAAATTACGCTACAGAAATGAAACAATTTACATAATAAAAGGAAGCTTATCGAAATGTTTGAAAATGTTTTCTTTGAGTGACTTTCATTCTTCTATTTTTTTTTGGATTAAATAAAAGAAAAAAGGTGCGACGACTAATGGCATTTCAATGGCATTTCTACAGTACCACTTCAATCAGTCTCGAAATGATTATAATAAACTTGATTTCCTTTAGCTTATTGAAACATTTTTACATTTTAATAAATTGAGAAAGAAAAACTTTCTTATACGTTGATTTTGACTTATTAAATATCTAAACGTGATAACGTGATAATGAGAATGTTGACAGAGTACATCGGTAGAGAAAGAAAAAAAGCAATGAAATTAGGCTAATTAGAGTACCTGGAAAATTTAACAATTGTACAAGTGCTAATTTTATAGGTAGTTTTAATCTTTTCTCCTATTCTATCAAAATTATTTTTGACAATTGAAATATTATTTTACTATATGAGATGGAGAAAGAAAAATTAATATATAAAAGAATATCAATATCCAAGTCATTTATTTTTTTTATCACAAATTTTTTCATTTTGATAAAATTACTGAAAAAAAAAATTCGAAGTAATTTTGAGATAATAAGTAATTTGCACTGAAATTTCATGCATCTTTCGTTTGTTAAAATGTAAAACTATAAAAATTCCAGAGAATTGTATTATATAAATTGCATAAATTTTGAATTTTCATTCAATCATTTAGCTTATTCTCATTCAATCATTTAGCTTATTCTTATTCTCAAAATTTTCATTCAATCATTTAGCTTATTCTCATATTTACGAGCCCTTCTTCCAATGAAATGGCAAAAATAGTGAGATGAAAAATTTGATATTCAGGAATTCATTCCATTCCTTCTATACTTACTTTTCAAAAAAAAAAAAAAAAAAAAAGGAAAAGGACCATAAAAAGGGTGTATTGAGAAAAATTTTTTTGCTCTGTATTCATTTATTTTTGCCATATAATTGAGAAAAGGTATGAATGGTTGAGTGCAAGATAAAAGGAATAATTTTTTGGGTTTGCGTTTTTTTTTTTTTTTCTCAGCTTCTGATTGGTAAAAAACCTTTGTATCACATATAGGTTTACCGTAGATTTTTGTTATAACAATAAGATATTCACAATGTGTACTTTGTTATAAGCAAACGAGAAAACATACGAAAAAGCGGCGATGGAATTAATGGCTTTGGAGCTTACGAAGTTTACTACCGCAGTAAAATACCGCCGCTTTTGATTTTCTGCGCGATGCATTCCTGCTTCATTAAGCAGTGCTTTCCATTAGCAGACACATCCCGGTACTGCGATTGAAATCGTTTTTTTATTCAGTTAATCATTATCATATCACCAATTGATCTCCTCTAGTCTTTGATAATCATTAGAATATAACTATGCTATTTTCTTTTGTTTTTTATGGTTTATAATTTTTTTTCTTTTTTGATATTTTTACTTAACTCAAAATCAGTAAGCTTTGAGATTTAAACTTGTTTCTTTCTAGTTTATTCATTTGAGTAAATAAATGAGTGAAGCAATTCATTGTTTTGCTAAGGAAGCAGAACTCTTACTAACATCTAATTAATTAGTATTTGACGTTACTGAATTTACTAGGTGCTACTACCAACGTAATTTGTTTTTCCATCTGAATTGTTTTCTTTAATTAATGACATTAACACAGGCCATATTTTTCTCTTTATTTCCTAACATTAGGTAAAGTTTGAAATTCTTTTTCATTTTTAAAACAATTAATTACCTAATACAAACATTTGAAACATTTCATTCTTCTTGACGAATTAATTTAATGAATGTGATCGAGAATAAGGACATTTCTTGAGAATGCTTCATTTAGCATAGATTATTCTTTCAAAATTATAAGAAAGAATCAATTTACAACTGTTTGTAGTTTTTTCATACCTTACATTTGCTGAATAAAGAAAAAAAAAATCATAAAGGTCAAGAGCGCGTAATTATTGTTTCTTTGCACTTTTCATCCAATCATCAAGAAGAATTTTTTTTACTGTTTCATCGAGATGATACCAATCCGATCCAAATTCTCGTCTATGATTCATAAACTTGTGCTCTTCACAGGTTTCTTCACTATTTTCGGATATCAAAATATCATCCAATGATCAGCGCCTGAATTCCGGCTTGCCAGAAGGTCACACAATGATTATTTGGCACATATAGGAAATATTTCGTTCTTTCTCTCTTCTTACATGATAATTGCTTGCCTTGGAGTACGGTACTTGCTTTACAATGATGCTGTCATTTGCGCTAGAGAGCAAGGAAGCGCTGTTGGCAGCTGCAGTTGTTATCATCGCAATACATTTTTTCTAAACTTTCCCTAATCCTAGAAATTTTTTTGTTCATTTTCTGATATTTCGTTCTGTCTGACTGTTTTATTTCTTGTAGAGAAGAGAAAAATCTAAAAAATTTTAATTTCAAAAAATGCGAAAGCTAAGGATGAAAATGAAATGATAATTTTGTGAAAAGCTGTCACATTACAATTGACAGAAAAAAGATTACAATGTTAGATTGGAAATGAAAAAAAAAAAGAATACTTGTCATCAAGAACAAGTCTAAGACTTGCCAAAATTGTTAAAGATCTCAAAAAGCTCAATTACTTGAACTGTTTAAATTCTCGAATGTCTTTAGCAATTACTTCAAGCTTAACTTCGTGTAAAAGAAACTTAGAGATTTTGATTATAAAAATTCGGTTAATTTGACTGATTGATCAAAATCTTATTTTTATGTACAACATCTAGAATTTAGTTAACTTTGAAAAAGTCAGTTTTGAAATATTTAACTTTCTCTTGAAACTCTAAAAAATGAAAGTGTTTGAAGAGTAGTAAACGAGAAAATGATAAAAGATTTATCGAGTTTTATGGATATAGATTGAATTTTGTAGAATAAGTGGAATATAAGTTTGAACCTCAGTAAAAAATAAAAATTGTACTGTAAAAGCAAATTCAAGATTTTATGGGATCATAATTGCGCTTTGGCGGTGAATTGAGAAATATTGGTGGGAATGCATGCAAATGGAAACTTCTTTTTTTCAAAGATTTCAAAAGCTGACCGCTCGGACATTTCATCAAATCATCTTTAAATTGTTATATCATCGAATGATTGTTTGCGAAACATTTTTTAGCCTAATAATATTCAAGAATATAATGAAAAATTTCTATCGAATACTGTAGCGAATGATTATTTAAGTTTCTTGTTTTAATTCGAAATATTTGCAATTTCTTTAGAAATGAAAAATAAAATTTTAGTGCAATAAAAACTTACTTCTACTCATTTCTTAATTTTTAATTCCTTAATTTCCTTTAATTGCTTATTTTTTCCTTTCTGTAGTAGTTATTTTCCCCAGTTTTCTACCCCTTGGATTTCTCAATTAAATAAGCTTCTAAATATTGTTATTTTTAAAATAAATTACTTGTTATTACCTTCGTCTTACTACATATTTTTTATTTACGTGGAATTGAAATAAAATTTATTGTAGGACACTAGCAACTAGCAAATATAACGGTTTTTTTTATTGCAATTTGTTGAATTAATTGTTGGGTTAAACTAAAATTCCGATATTTTATCTTTCATTGCTTTTTTTTTTCTTTTCACGCGTCGTTTTAAACTTTTTTCTCATTTTTTTTGTGATAAAATTGATAAAAAAAAAAGTAAAATCAGCTAAAGAAGCATTTGCTTTGATGCAAAACACGGAAGAAGTGATATGAATAAAAGGAAATTTAAGTAAAGAATATTGTTATACATTTTCTAATTTCTTAAAATTTTACTGCTAAGCTTCTTGTCATATTTTTAGACATGGTATTATCATTGTTTTAACTTCAAATTGGTTTCATAAAATAATATTACAAAGTTGTGAGTATAAAACTTTGAAAGCATAATATAGCTTATTCAATAATTTAAAATTAATTTAATTACAACGAGTTATATGACATTCGAAAAACACTCGAAAACTTTTAGCATTTAATTAATAATCGCTATCATTTTATCACAATGATAAAATTGTCGAGAATAGTATCATCATTCTAATTGCATTCGCTTGTGCAAGAAAGAAAAGAAATTTCATGCAGAGTTTCAATTCTTAAATCAGAATTCTGCGACAAAGAAAGGAATATTTTTTGAACAGTTTGTTTATGGCAATTTTTATTTCCAAATGTGCACAAAATACACAGAAATAGATAGAATGCACAATTGTCTTGAATACCTATTTTTCTTGTTTTTCTCTTTTAAGTAAATTATTTTCCTGTTAACAAAAATGAAAACATCTTTTTAGCAAAGAGTAAGCTCATTTTTTTCTTGTCGCAAAAACCTGCTCGTCCTACTGCGTGATATTTGCTCATGTTGTTGTTGTTGTTGTTGAAAATTAATTAAAAACAAATTTCGCCATATTTAGCTACTTTTTTAAAATGTCTTTTTCTTTCTTTTTCTTGGAAATACATTTATTTTTGCTTGAGGATGTTACTTAAAATCATTGATTTTAAGTTAGTTAACATATTGAGGTTTGTAGATTTCCTTTAAACTTCATCATTTTCTTCTTCTTTTTGTTGTTATTAATGGATATTTTTCGAGGGAATGATTATGTGAAATTAATAAAAAGTTCAATATTTTATTGATTTTAGCTCCAATAGTAATTCAAAATTGGGTATTTGTTATATGTTATTGTATGATTTGGAAAAATTACCTTCGAATTTTATAGATTTGGAAGAATTACCTTACAATTTTAATAGAATTATGATATGATTTAAATTGCAAGTAAATAAGTAGATGAACACATAAAATAGTAGCATGTAAATTTATCAAATATTGCTTAGCTTATCGAGTGAATTGCTTTTAGAAATAAAATTTTGAAATCTTAGTTTTAATCTTAAATTCACTTCCTCCAATTCCATCGTTTCTAAAAAATCATCAAAAAAAAAAAAAAAAAAAAAACAAAAGAAAAAAATAATCTCACAGTGAATTAGTCATCGCTTCTACAGACTATGATTAAAACTGTTTATAGTTATTTTGATCGTTTTAATAGAAGAATGCAAAATTTTAGAATAATTCATGAATATCACAAAAATGAATGTTTGTTTAAAGAGGGAAATAAATTTTTTCTTAAAGATATGTGTGACAGTTCGGATGGCAATGGCTTGGATAGAGAAAAAGATGCTCAATTTCAACAAGCTGTCACAGCATTTATGCAACCACCATTTTTCAATGATATTTGTATACGTATTGTGACGATTGATCTGGCCAATGGTTATAGAAATGGTTTTTTTTTTTTTTAAATTTTAATTCATTTTAAAACATAACGTTCAATTGTTTAATTTGCAAAATCTTTGGTCTTTTCAAAAATTAATAGAAAAAAAAAAATTAACACTTAAAATATATTGGATGAAGTTGAAAAAAAAAAAAGGAAAACAATTTAAGGAATAGAGAAAATCTAATATGAGAAAATGAAAAATTCATTTCAAAAAATATGAAATTTAATTTTCAGAAGAACAAATATTAGCGAATAAATTTCTCTTAGCATTCTTTTCGTTACACATTCGTGAATTGATCCTCAATGGTGCTTATTCAATTGACAGAAACAATGGCATTTTACAAAATATACCAACAATTGAGCTTCATCTTGGTACTACTGCCAATGCCGGACAAGCTTTCAGGATTATTCTACGGTATCTTTATACCGGAGTGCTTTCATTTGGTACTGTACATCCGTTTCAGGTGTGATTTCTAATCTTCCTTTTTCTTTTTTTCAACAACAAATTACTTTTTAACAATTTTTAGTACATTTTAATAATACTTGCAGGTTTTACAAGTATCTCGGATATGTCAAATTCCAATGGTAGAAATGCAAGTGGCGGAATTTTTAAAATTATTTCTGTCCATTCATTTTGACGGAAGCAATTGTTTTATAAGGCAGCACAATGCTATGGCCCGTGGGCATTTATTTCTTTAAACTTTAGTGTTTACAAAAATAAACAAACAGTACCTACATGAATATTTAGTCATCTTTAAAAATTTCAGCTATTTCTATTAATAATTCTCTTATTTTATGTCTTGTGACATCTAATTTTATGCTATGGGAAGTGAGGATTCACAAAGAAATATTTGCCAAAATCTTTTGACAGCTCATTTTTGAGTAATTTAATTGTCTGCAATAGGTTAAACAACATTATAATCAAGTTTGAAATATTTATTAAGATCAAATTGAAATTTGCAGCAAATTCAAATTTAACTAATTTAATAAAACAACGACATTGCTTATCGATACCTATGAAAAAGGAAATTCAGAAATCTTCAAAAATTTGTGCTGAAAATGATTTAATAAACAATGAAACGCTTGTGTGAGTATTAAATAAATAAATATTAAAAATTTATAAATTGGAAATGTTTGTTCATTTAATCAACTTTCATCAATTAATTTATGTTACTAAATCCGAAAACGGAAGATATATGTTAATTTCTTATTTTATTCCAAAATTAATATTCGTAATACAGTGATGACTTAGTGTTCAATCAATTTCTTTGTTTAGTGCATCATCAAAAGAATCATCTTCGACGGTACAAACAGGAAATGCGGAACGATTCAATGAGCTTTTACTTCCATCGAGCGATAAGGAAGGTTAAAATCTTTTCTTTTTTTTTTATCTTAAGCTTTCTTTTTTTGACAATTCAAAAAATTCATATATATAAATATTATATATATGTTTTTTTTGATAATTGGGGAAAATTAGTATATAAAAAAATAAAAAATTAACTGATAATTCGAAAAAAAAAAATTGATATAGCTTAAACTGACCACAAAAGCGCCAAGTTTTAACCTTCAATGTATTTAATTTCAGGTTGGTGTCGTAATAAAAAATACATTGAACAGGTAGCAAACGGTTATATGTGTACAGTATGCCATAAAGTTTACGGTCGTTATAATTCAGTATCATATCACGTTACTATATATCACCGTAATTCACCTATTAAATGTGACGAAAAAGGTTGTCCATTTAGGACACGTGAAGCACGATACATTCATTTCCATAAATACTATCGACATCATATTCCTCTGCCAGATAATATCGATTTGGGTATTTATCATTAATTTTTCACTTGTAAAAAAATAATTAGCGTTTTTTTTTTTTTTTTTTTTTTTTTGTTTTTGATTGATTAGATTCTGTTATTTAATATCAGTTGTTAGCTTTCTTCAATAATTTAAATAGAATCATTTTATTTTGATTGTTTATTCTTTAAATGATATAAAATACGATAAGTTGATTCAACTAAAAGATTTTCATTTTAGGTTCACGGAAGTGTCCATTTTGCCGTCATGTCTCAAAAAGTCCGGCAATGTTAGAAAAACATATAAGCCGTCACGTGCAAGACGTAGACCGAGTTACTTCCGCTGCTACGCGAGCACACTTTCCACGTTATTCTCAAACTATATCAAATTTCCAATGTTCACAATGTGCTTTTAGGTATTTAATTTATGGCACAAATAATTTTTTTCAATTAAAAAAGAAATTAATTGGTTCTTAAATGAAAATATCAGCAATATTTATGGACAATCAGTTGATATAGTTTTATTAACTCTCAAAGATCTCCTTCAAAATTCATTAGCATTAACATGAGGGAAATATTATTTGAAATATTATTGTGCATTTGAATATTTGAACACTTGACAATTTTCAATAATCTTTTAGTGCTTATTAAATCATAAGTTTCTTTAAAAATATTCGTAATTATTTTACTTAAAAATTCTTTTTTTGAAAGCATTCATGAATAAACAGCCAAATGTGTAAGAGTTGAAGTGAAATATCTTATAGTAGTAGTCCTATAGCAAAAAAAAAAAAAATAATAATAATAAAGAAATTGAAGAAAGGAAAAAAAGAAAACTAAGAGTACTATGATTTTAAAAAGAAAATTTATTTTTCAGGGGACAAACATTGAATGACTTGGAACGGCATAAATTATTTGTTCATTGCAAAGAAACATACCGGCGGAAACAAATTGCGCCTGATACTATTGTTGCTGCCAGTATTGCTAGCGACAAAAATAAAATTTCAAAAGAAATTTCTGCACGGTTCGATATTTTATGTATTACAATTTAATTAATGAAACTATGCCATAGTTTAAATCACTTCATAAATGCATCACAAAATTATCAAAGTTACGTATTATACTTTCTTATTTTAAAAGTTTAGAATTTTTTTAAGTTAAAATTTGATAAATCTTGAATTTTATAAATGTTAATAATTTAGGGATGACAAAGTTTTATTGACTAATGCTGCCCAAGAGATTGCCAAAATGAAAGTGATCGTTTCATCAAGCACAACAACAACAACAACACAATTGGAAGCGATCTGTCTTGCTGTTTCTAAAACTTGAATTCATATTTAATTTCAAGATAGAATTAGTAATACTTTTCCTTTTTTTAACAAGAAAAAAAAAGATAAAATGGGAAAAGTTTATCATTTTAATGCAAATAGAATTTTTTAAAAAATAAAAAATTTTTAGTATTCGATAAATAATAAATAATTTTATCGGTGGCACCATAAGAAATTATCAAACTGTGATAGTTTTTAAAAAAAAAAAAAAAAATTAATAAAGCGATGAATTGAAAGAATCTATTTGCAGAGAATTGAATTAATAAGATCATTTCATACTGCTATTAGATGAATTTTTTTTTTTTTTGATCACTGATACTGTTAACAACAAATATTATCTTCTGCATAACATAATAGTGATCAAAAGTTCATCTTAAAAGTTTGCTTATTAATAGATTAATTAATTAATAGATTCTTATGAAGAATCCGCTAAATACATTTTAAAACAGAATTATAACTTAAAAATTTCTAAGCATTATAGAGAAATTTAAAACTTATTTAAATTTAATGTGCATCTTTTCATTAAGTAAATGATCTTCCATTTCCATCAAATGTTCTCTTAAATTTTACTCTTATCGCATAATCCATTTTTTTTTTTAATTCTAACTTTTTAAATTGACTTTTTAGCAAGATAAGATAATTTCTATATATAAATATATATAAAAGGTGTGATACTGAAAAGAAAATCGAAATTGATATCGAATTTTATCACAAATTAAAATTTAGCTTAGCCAATCCTTCATTTTAGTATGAGAAAGTGTTACATTTTAAAAGCAATCATCGGTCAATTTGGCTTTTTGATTTCAAAAATTTATAAAATCTTTTATAGGATGAAAATTCAACTTTTAAACAAATCCTCAATAAACTGTCTGTGCTAGTACTTTTTTAATTATCACTTATAGAAATGTATGTGCCCATTGATTCATCCATTCATTTTGTGCCTTCAAATAAAAATTAATTATTTTATTTTTGACACTTACTAATTTTAGAAAACAAATATTTCGCCGAAGGGATATCTTTCGTCCACGATTTATCTTTTGTTGACTTTAAATTTGATTGAAACTAATGTTACTTAAACAAAAAAAAAAAAAAAAAAACTGTTCCAATCCTACTTTTCCATTTCATTTTAATTATTATTTCCATAGGAGGATTTAACAATTCAACTCGTTGTGAGTAGATGAAAGATAATAATAATTTTGAGATGCATTAATCTTATTAAAGCCAAAAAACGTTCAGTGAAAAATACTTTTATTTTCTCAAACTTAAACACTTTCAGTTCAAATGATAGCACAGAGATTTTGAAATTTCAAAAGATTTGCATATTTCTTAGTGTTTGAAGTTAATTAATTTACATTTTATGTAAATTATAAATATAACTAATTCAATGTGTTCGTTTTTTTATATAAAATTGTTGCAGTAATGCAATCAGTTATTATTTTTATATTAACTAAATTGTGAGGCGTTATTCAATCCAATTTGTCGCCAATTTTTCGATTCTTCATCATTTTTTTTACGAATTTTACAATGGTCTGTGTATTTCAACAAGAGCATGTCTCTTGCAAAATTTCATGTGATATTAATAGAAGTGATAATATTGATTTTTAACATCTACCAGCACTTATCAGTTACTCTTCCGATCAAAAAAAAATAACATTTTGTTAATTAGCGATAGGATCCGGAAAGAGATGAAAGCTTCCAAAAAATTCAGCATTCAAATTTTAGAAAAATGTAAAGTTTGAGAAATCAAATAAATCAAAAATGTTTGATAGCAAAATATTTGAGTAGAATGGTTGACCTGCGATAGTAATACTTTAGTATTTATAGCCATTGAATGTATAACACAAACGAATGACTCATCGTTTAAACTTTTAAAACTTTTTTTTAAAAAACTTATAAAGCTAAAACTTCATAAGTTTTGAAAATTGTAGACAACAAAGAGCGAATTGCAAAAGAAGGAGAAAGAATTGAAGGAAAAATTAAGCTTATTTGCGGGAAGAAAAAAGGAACAACAAAAGGGTGCGACAACGAAACAAATATTAAAAAACTTAGGAAAGGATGAGTCACCAAAGAAGAAAAGTGAAGTATTAAAGCAATGTAGGAAGTCATCGGTAGACGGGAAGGTATCAAAAGAGCGCAAGACCGGTTCCATGCGACGAGTGAAGTCCTGCTCAATGCACGGAAATACCACCGGAAACATTGAAACGGTTATTGTTACAAGGATGAAACTGAAATAACACTTTTAATTGTGTAGGAGAAAGCACGGAAGTAAGTGCCCACAACATATATTCTATGCAAAGATTCCGGTTTCTAACTTAAAACATTGCCAATTATTACAATATTTTGGGAATTATTTTTTCAAAAATTTAAACTCAAAGTATTAAGAGGAAAAAAAGATAAAATAAGTCTTAAAAGATGGAATAAGTATCATTCATAATTAATAGCTCACATACAGAAGATGGAATAACGAAGGACCGAGAGTTCCCATTGCTTTGAGAGGAATGAATTCTTTAAATTACTAATCTCATAATTATTACTTTTACTTCTTGATAGAATTGGTGGTGCAAGATTTAGTTGCCATAAGAGATAGTATGTTCAGGTCTCGAAATAGGTTAATGATAATTGGTTTGTTTCACTTAATTTACCTTCTGGTTCATCTACCTGTATTGCTGGTTATTTTGGGTACTTGCTAGCTAACAGGTTGTCACTACCTTATTGGCTGTTGAAAACTTCTGGCACGTGCTACTACGTCTTGGCTGCATTTTGGGGATATTTTATATTCAGATAGCGGTATATGCTTAGACGAATTATTTTAAAAACTTTCCTTGTGCTTACTACCACTTACATTTATTTTTCATGAAAATTTTATAATTTGCTTTTGAAGTGACTGATTTTTGATTTTTTTTCGAAATTTTTTTTTCGAATTTTTGAAAAAATTTGAATTTGATAGACTTTCATGAAAAATAAATGTAAGTGGCAGCTTTTTTTTTTTTTTAGCTCACAAAAATTTAAGGAATAAACAAATCTCTTTGTGTAGTGAAAATGGCAGACTTTTGCTGAATTAATTTGTTCATTTTTTGTATGCATCTTGTAGGATATCAATTTGCTTATCAACTATTCTCAATTTTAGTCAAAGAAGAAGAAAAAGACAATTGGAAATCAGTTGGCTCATCAAGAAATATTTGAAAACTCGGAGATTGAAATTTCAAACTATCATTCAACTGGAATCAGTGCTTCAGTAACACAGTTAATTTTTACTTTTAAGCTTGTTGAAATATTCAATCCTTGTGATACTTCTAGATTCTCTCTATTATTTAAAACACGAAAGATAGAAGAAATGATATATAGTGAGGGATAACTTCAATCAAATTAAAGTTAAAGAAGCCATTTGCTAAATTTTGCATCTGCTTGCAGTACTCCTTCAGAAGTAAGCCTAGAAAAGGAAGGCGGTGATGTAAATTTGAAATTATCAAATGATATGACTGAAAAGAGATCAAAAAATAAAACTGAAAAAGTATGCATTGTTAATATATTCATTTTATCAAAAACTTAAATTTCATCTTTCAACAAAAAAAAAATATATATAAATTTTATAAATCATTATTAATAATTTTAATTTTAACAAAAAATATAGAAAATATGTATTGTTAATATTTTAATTTTAACAAAAAATTAGCAGTTATTAGTGACAGTAATTAAATTGTTAGTCTGTTTCAGTGCTCACTCAGATTGCTTCCTATTAATAAATCGCTGTAAGTAATATCTTTTAGCTATAGTCAATCCCGCAAATAACTAAATTATCAAATTCCATTTTTTTAAAAATTTCTAGTATCGTATAAAAGTTGAAATTCAGGAAGATGAAGATGATACATTATTTAATGTAGATCCCATAATGCCTGATTTGGATCTACCATCACTTCGTTTAAATGCCAAGATGGAATGATATAGTGATATTGGTAGTGATAATGATAAGATGAATAAATGGCTAATTATTTTAGTTCGCAAAAAAAAAAAATATATTTAGAATTGAAAATAAATTAGACAGGACTGTTATTTTTTTTTTTTTTTTGAAAAAACTGTTAATTCGCTAAAATTCAATGTTATTCATTTAGATTCAATTGTAGTAGAATTGCAATAGTATTTATTATTTAAATGGAAAATGAATAACTAAAAATATTATTTAACTCAAAATAGCACCTGATTAATCGATAGATAACGGAAATCCATAAATTATCATCTCGAAATTGAGAATATAACAATAAACGACTCATTGACAAAACTATGACACTTACCTGTTTCTCATTATGAAAAAAATAATTACTTTCGTCTAAATTACATCTATTTTGAGAGTTTTACAAAGAAGGCAGTTCAAAGTTGTGGAAAGTTTTATGTTTTTTATAAGTTTTATATTTTAAAGTTTTGTAGATTTTATAAACTTATGAATGAATGTATTTCTAAACTTATGAATATATTTCCTAAAACGCCTTTAACTATGAGACCATTTTAAAAATTGAAATGTAATCTTCCATAAATTCCATCTCGATTCGCTCTGAAAGATTTCTTCCAGTTTACTTGCACAGTCGATCATGAAATGAAGATAAGTTTTCATCGATTGAAGAGATTTTTTTATCAAATCATTCTACTACTTATGCAATTATCATTATTTGATAATAAAACTGTTACACTGATTTCTCGAAATTCGATAGTGTATCTGAAAAATGCTCAAATGCAATGAAAATTTTTGCAAATAATAAAAGAAAACGCGAACAAAGGAACATAACAGCGCAAATGTGACATTGCAATAATTGAATGAACGCCTTTGATAATTTTGATAAAATTAAAAATAATAAATAAATCGTGAAATTAAATTTATTTGTTTTAGTTATGTTATACTTATGTTCAGATAAGTCCTGATGAAAAAGACTAAAATTTTGCAGCTGAGGAATTCCATCATTTTAATAAGAGATGAGAAAAGTAATGAGAGCAACAAAAAATGAACTCTGAAATTAAAGTAATATGAGAATAACTTTCCTGAACAAATCATACATCCAAAAAGTAATTAATAGCTCACATACGTATATTTTATCAAAAAAAAAAAATTCATTAACTTTATAAAATAGCTTATTGGCAGTTTCGTGATTATAGTACAAAAATTGCAAGAAAGCAAATGCAATATGCTAATGCATATTCATTTATCGTTCAGTGATAGAAATTTTTAAGAATGTAAGAAAAGTTGAAAAACTCCACATTGCAACTCTTAAATTTATAAATAAATAAAAAGATTACTTTGTTGAAGTAAAAAAAAACAAAAACAAAATTTCTCTCAATGGTTTTAGAATTTAGCCAAAAATTCAACCAAAAACTTCACCAATATTTTTAAATTGAATTCCTCTCCCTTTAATTAACTGAAAGTGAAATTTATTGTCAAAAATATGAAATATGAAAAGATATATGACAGAAAATTATGATATTGGTATCCAATTATTCAGGAAATATTCATCTTTTTTTATCATTTTCTCCAATACTGAATTAGGTTTTGGCCAATTATTGTAATATACTGTGGTACCATTTGTCAGGTAAGCAATCCACCAGGAAAAAGTACCAGTACTCATTATTGTGTGATTACAACGAATAAGCGTTGCCATATCAACTTCTCGATAACCCGATGATACGATGTAAATTTCACCTTAAATTATTTTCATTCCTTTGGTAAATATTAATTCTAAGTGATCAAATGATTGAATGACATTATTTGGTGTGAAATTTTGAATGCTAAATGGAAAAGTTTGAAGTTTTTTTCTTTTTCTTAGTAGTTACTTGATGAAAATATTTCAAAGCCATTCGATTAATTCACTAAAAAAAGTAAAACACAAAGTAAAAAAATTACTAACAAATTAATTACATTGAAATATGAGTTTTTAAAGGAAGTTGGAACATAAATCTAGCAAGAGCTCTCGAATAAATACCAACCTTTACGAGTATGATTGATATTTGTTTTAACCCAATGCTCATTATCACTGCTTATTACAAATATTAATTTCTCGAATCTCGACCTATATTAATTATTATGATAAATTAAGTGTTCTTGAGTCACAAAAATTTTGAACTATTCAAGAACAAAAGTAAATCAGTTTTAAGTAACAAGGATTCACTTGCTTATCACTAAATACCACAAAATGCTATTTTATTCTTCCATAAATGAGATACAAAAAGAATTATGATAAAATGTAAAAAAATAACAGAAAATAACTATCATTAATTTTTTTTTAACAGTATTTAGCTAATTAATGTGTTCAGTCTTTGCATTTGTGGAAAGTTTCGTAAATAATATTTATTTAAAATTAAATAGAAACATATTAGCATGTGGATAATAACTTTACAGTACTAATTCTATATTGAATTGAAATAATTTCTCTCAAATTGATTTTATCTTACTGACCTGAAATAATTCATTGCGTTAATGATATAATCTTTTGTGATGGTCGTATGGCCATATTTTATATTTCGACTATTCATTGTAATGTCCATTCCATGTCGTATATGTATTCCAACGTATACGTGACCTATTATTATTAATGGTTAACATTGAATATTAATCGTTTGGTTCTATGAATAGTGCTTCGAAGTTCGCAGTAGAAATAGAAAGACTAATTAGTTGTCATCATAAGATAGAAAGACCAATTAGTTGTTATATGATAGAAAGACTAATTAGTTTGTAATCATAAGATACAAAGATTAATTAGTTGTTATCATAAAATACGAAGACTAATTAGTTGTTACCATAAGATACAAAAACTAAATTAGTTGTTATCATAAGATAGGAAGGCTAATTAGTTGTTATCATAAGATGAAAAGAAGGATACCATAAAAGTCTTTATTGATATCCACATGATCAGGATAATTTCTAAGATCGATATCTGCAGGTATTATATCAGTAACTCTTGCATGAAGTTTTTCATACTTGGCTTCTTGCAAATAATCATCCGCTAGTTTGACAATTTCTGGTAAGAAGGTGAATTGTTTGTGAATCAAATGTTCCTAAATTCAGTTCTTTAATTTGTGATATTTTTGATATGTAAAGGCAAATAATAAAAGATGTAACTGACAGTAACAATAATATAACATAGATAAAAAATAAAAGCTAAAAATCTTTTATAGCTTTTAATTTTTATCATATATTCTATCAATGTACAAATTAGACAAAATAAATCATTTAAATAATTATTAATCACCTCAGCTCTTGATTTTTTAGCAAAAAAAAAAACAACTCAAGAATTGATGCTTAATATGAGTTTACCTGTTGTGGATGAAAATAACGATATGATTGAAGATATCCCGAAATATATTCGAAGCTTTGATCAACGAATAACTCATCAACTTCTTTTCCATAATATTTGCAGCATGACAAAAAAATACATTGTATTTTAAAAATTCCGTCATTAAAGTTGTAAAATTCGGAAAATATATGTCTTTTATTGATAAGATATGAAAGTGATTAATCTTTAAACATTCAAACTAACAGCAAAATGACGTTTACTTGAGCTGTACTGTCGAATTAGCTCATCATTTAGCTCATTGTTTACTATAATAGCATCCAATTTAAACCCTCGTCGTAATGTACATTTCACGGGGATAATTAACTTCGCATTATATCGCTCAGCTATTGCTCGTAAAGATGCATATTGAAACATTAAGTTACCCAATCCTGAAGTGCTTTTTTTTTTTTTAATATTGTTAAAATTTTTTTGAATCTTTTTTTTTTATCAGTATTTAACATAATTTTGCAGTGAAATTGACAAAAAAAAAAGGAAAAAATTTAGAAAAGTATTAATTTTTAAATGGAAATTTTGCTGCATATTGCTTCTCATCATTCAACCTATTACTTATTAAAATATCAAAAAAAGGAACAAAAAACAAAATATCAATTTAAACCTTCAGCAATATGCAATTTTATGTTTTCATTTTAACAGCATTTTTTTTTTCTTTTTCAAAAAAGTATACAATACCTGGACTCCATGAAAAGTTACTTATTACATAACGCTCACTTTCATTGATATCTTCTATGCTTTCTATTATTTTTATATTTGGCAAAGCCCAAGGTTGATCAAATTTTACATCATCACCTAAATTATGAGATAAAAGTGGCAGTTTAATTATGATAAATAAGACTTTCTTGTACACTTGCCAGTCCTAAAATAATTTCCTTGTCATCCGATATCTATTTCATATTGACTTTCACTTCTAAGTTTCCTGTTTAAATCAAGCAGAATTAATTTGGTTATTTAAGTGAAATAGAATTTAATCCTTCGAAAAAAAAATGGCAAAAAAAGAAGGACCTCCTTGAGGGAAAATTCGAGTTACTTGAACCACCGATAATCGGTCCAAATGATTGAAATCAGCCACATAAATATCATAAAAACTCCAATTTGTTATTAATAATACTAAGAGAGATAAAATTATTGCACAAGTCAATACTATTAATCCATTTCTTGTTGCTGCAATAAATCAAATTATTTTCGGATTTTCTTTTTCTTTCTTTTTTTATCATGCAGTTTAAATCATTTACCTTATCAATATTTGCAGAAAATCTTGTTAATAAATCAAAAGCACTGTTAGAAAATTTTTTTGAGAATTTCAGTAACTTTTACTTTCATTATTTTTTCCTCTGTATGGAATAAAAATCTTGGTAGGATGATTATCTCATTATTCAAAATTCGAAAGAAATTATTTCAATTATTTTATGGCATATAGTTTTACATTTGCCAAGTAAATCAATTTTTCTCTTATGATATTTTTAAAGTTGAAATAATAAGAAATGTCGTCTTTTTCATGATAAAAAATAACGAGATAATTTTATTAGATACCTAAGAATTGCTTTATTAGATGCCTAATTTTAAATTCGAAGTGTAATTAAGCAAAGCAATTTACCAAAGCAACCTTTCATCGATCAATAGTGATTATAGAAGAACAAATGAATGGGCATACACTGATAATATCACATTATTTAGCTTCAGCAGCAAAAGACGACAATATGACCTTGACAGTGACCCTTGGAGACATAAGGTTAAATGAAATGAATGAGTCAGTGAGACTGCCTGCTGATATAATTTTCAAACAAAAAAATTGAATCAAAATTACATCTTACTTTTTCTAAATTTACATCTATCAATCAGTCAACCAGTTAATACTTTTAATAGTTTTTTTTTTTTACAGTAATATTTTTTTTAAATAAATAAATATATATATTTAACATCAAATCTAACAAGTTGCATTCCGTCAAACCATGTTGCTTGTTGCAGAATTAATAATACTTAGATTAGAAAGTCGAGTTAGAATACGATTCATCGTGAATTTCTAATAAATCCCAGGTAAATTTATTCTGGCACAATGATATTTCCATTAACTTTTCCCTGTCCTTATATATTATTCATAGCTACAAAGAAACCATTTCATAACCTAAAGTAAGACATGTGCTATCTAATCTAAAAAGAAAAGTTAACGTGAAAAATCCTTGTTTCTCATTGGAATATGTTATTTTGATATATTTTTGCTGAGGAATATGTTTTGATCTGTGTTTGTGAATATAAAATATCCCCAAAATGCAGCCAAGACGTAGTAGCACGTGCCAGAAGTTTTCAACAGCCAATAAGGTAGTGACAACCTGTTAGCTAGCAAGTACCCAAAATAACCAGCAATACAGGTAGATGAACCAGAAGATAAATTAAGTGAAACAAACCAATTATCATTAACCTATTTCGAGACCTGAACATACTATCTCTTATGGCAACTAAATCTTGCACCACCAATTCTATCAAGAAGTAAAAGTAATAATTATGAGATTAGTAATTTAAAGAATTCATTCCTCTCAAAGCAATGGGAACTCTCGGTCCTTCGTTATTCCATCTTCTGTATGTGAGCTATTAATTATGAATGATACTTATTCCATCTTTTAAGACTTATTTTATCTTTTTTTCCTCTTAATACTTTGAGTTTAAATTTTTGAAAAAATAATTCCCAAAATATTGTAATAATTGGCAATGTTTTAAGTTAGAAACCGGAATCTTTGCATAGAATATATGTTGTGGGCACTTACTTCCGTGCTTTCTCCTACACAATTAATACTTCACTTTTCTTCTTTGGTGACTCATCCTTTCCTTAATTTCCCTTTCATAAATGACTTTAATATTTTTGAATTACTTAAAAAATAAAAGAAAAAAACAAAACAAAGAAAAATCTAAAAAATTAGCATCTTCTGCTTTTTAAGCAATAAATCTTGAGAATAGTATCTTTCCATACATAAAGTCGTAACATTCAATGTTTTTTCTTTTCAGAAAAACAAAGAATGAAGGATTCGTATTTTCATGTTATTTCACTTCAATTTAAAATTTCTATATTTAATTGAACTTTAGCATAAAAGAAAAAATTCAGCATTCAATTTCAGAAGTTTAGCAGAAGCAAAAGAAAAATTCTTACACTTGAAGAAGCGATTGTACAAAGAAATGAAATAGTTTTATACATATGGAATTCAAATGAACACTGCTAATATAAAAAGAATAAATTTACTTAAACTTTGTATTATCGGAAAAGAAGAAAATTAGCCAGAATTCGATTACTGATAGGTAAAATTAGCACAGAAAAAGAAAAAAAAATGGCAGTAAAAGAAGTTTGATACAAAAATTAAGATTTAATAATAAGAAATAAATTTTTAAAGAGAGATTCACAATACAACTTCACAGGTATGATGAAGTGACAATATATTAGCATAATATAACGTTCTTCTGATATATGTGATAAGGAGATGAACTAATGATAACCTTTAATTTAAAATTATAAAATTTGATTAGGAGAAAGGAATATAAAATAATATTGAAGCAAAGAGTCACACACACACATTCATTCATCGATCACATGACAAACAGTCTTTTGTCACCTTCGCATCATCCCCGCAAGTATCCGAGGACAGTACTGCTTTACAGGTATTAATAAATGTCATAGGTTTATATTCGAGTTGCTATTACTTACCTGATCCAGACTTTATCATGTTTTGAATATTTATTGCTGTTTGTTTTCGTTTTCGATTTGAGCAGTCCAAAATGGAAATGAATAGTTGAGAGAATTTTCTACTCCTCCAGTACTACTATTCTTCTTAATGCAAAGATGTCTTATCTGTGTTAACACTTTTCATCTTTTTTTTTATTGTAATTTACAAATTATAAGCATCCTGAAAGTCCTTTACTCTATGTTAGACTATCTTTCAGATTATATTAGTAGTTCGGTTATCTTAAGATCATATTTGTAATTTTTAATTGTTTACATGAAATGAAATGAGTCTCATTCCTTTGAATGAAAAGAACAACAGACATGAATTTGTTTAACAATTTATCGAATGAGAAAAAGGAATTGTAATCACTTATTCATTACTCTTCCAGCACAATTATAACAATTTCAGGTGGAAGTAAATTATGTCAATCTTAGAACTTAATTTCTATCCATTCGTCATAGCTACATGCTTTTATCTATCAGTCTTTGTAATTGCTGAATTAACTCGTAAGCTTGTTGACAAGTAAGTTGTTTACATCTTCTCTACCTGGTAGCCATTTCAAAGTAGCGTTTTTTTTTCTCCCGGAATCTGCATTGAATATACATAGTTATTGTAAGAGATGAATAATATTTCTTGTTTTGCTTTAAACATTTCTTACTCACTGCTTGTTATCATAAAGTATTAATTTGATGATTTTTCAGATATGGAACGAATGGTTCATTACTATTTTGTTTCCTAATGGAACTAATAGCAACAGCACAAATGTGTACTTGCGTTTATGAAAATGGTAATATTTTTTTGTATTGTTGATGGCTAGCATGTGCTGTGTGTTATGTGAGTATTTATATGTTATGCGATATGTGAGTATCTATAGGTGTTGGAACTAGAAGAGAATTATACGACTTGATGTTGCAGCGGTGATTATTCGACATTATGGTTTGTTGGGTTTCTTTTTCATCGTTACTTTGCTAATTTTTTCTGGCAGTATCATGAATCGAGAAGCGTTTGTCTCTCCACTAGTACCAATTGAGCTGTACTATAAAGGAATATTTCCGTTGGTTTTTTGTTTTATTTTTATTTAGGTATTAGTAAAGTTATTCAGAAGCTAAATGATTTTATTACCTTTGTAGATTTGGTCGTATTGATTAGAATAAGCAAACAAGCATTCTATTCATAAGAATTACAGGTTGAAGAGATTATTAGTAACAATAGCTGGCGAAATGATTGGTGGTTATTCGGCTTATCGATTAGCCCGTAGCCTATGGTACTGGTCGTTGAATTTATTGTCTGATCATGTTCTTTTCTACGAGCTGACAAGTTGTAAACTTACTTATAAGGTTAGAATTCATCAGAAACCTTTCGAAAAACTGAAAGTGTTTTTTTTTTTTTTTTCTGTTAAGGTTTTCCTTTTGTTAAGAGTTTTGAACTTAATTTTGATAATTTTGAACTTGTCTTCCATTTTTGAGGATGGGAAGGACTTTTTTGCTAAAAATGAAAGGGAATGTGATTTTTGCAGGGATTTAGAAGGAGATCAGGTTTTTATTGCTTACCAAATCAATTTAATCTGCATAAAGATTATGGAATAAATATATGGATTAAAATTCTGTGATATTGGGTTTCAGGAATCCATGTGGTTTGTATCTGTAACAAATATAACATTTCTATTAATATTTTTAGTTCTTTTAGCAGTAAGAGTGCTAAAGTGGAATCTAATGATGAAAATTATCAAATTTGTATATATTTTTTTTTTTGCTTCAGGTGTCATTCCTGTTTGTACCCTGCTTTGAAGTCATTGGTTGTTTTCTAATGCGCTGTATTCTTTGTCGCATTCCGTTAAATTTCAAGAAATATATGGCTCCACTCGTTGTATCTACACTCTTAACGTTTTGTTCGTTCTTTATTTTTGTATGATATCTTTGCCGTGTTGATTTCAAAAATTCTATAGTTACAGTCTTTTTTTTTCAGGTAGGCAAAAAAATGATTGTATAGAAATGTTTCGCAAAATTTGCTATTTGCAGTGGAAAATGCAAAATATATTTCATTTTGGGTCATAGATTCACTCACTGCTTAATTAATTTATAAATGAATATGTAATTGAAGCTGCTTATGTTTGAAGATTATAATTTAGGAGGAATTTTGCAATCATAATTCAGTTTCAGTTAAACAGTAAGCAATAATTTAAACGGTCTCTGATCACCGTCTATTTAACCATGTAATTTATTCAATTAAATAGACTTATAACTTTTTCAGCGTTACTATTTGTTGGTGTTCCTGGACTTAATCCAACAGTTGCTTCATCACGTTTACAAGGATGTGATGGGTTAAATACTATTTGGTTTATTTTGACATATTGGGTATGTCCTGTAATTGGTTGGATGCTATCAGTTGCTTTCGATGATTATAGGATCACTGGTGCTGAAAAGAAAACAGAATAACTGAAAGTATGCAAATGCTTTATATTTCTGAAGTTTTCATTTGACTTATTTAGTTCTCTCTTTTACAGTTGTAACACTTCTAACTTATTAATATCGACTCATCATTAATGTCTTTTTCCGTAATCTTTCAATTTTATGACTGAAGTTTTTTCACTGATTTGTCGTATCTTTTCATGTGTTTTGAATAAGCTTTGCAATTCAGTTAGTAAAGAAGTTTCTTCTCTTCTACTTGCTTGTTGTTTAAGTTATTCAAATTAGCTTCCACTTAGTGAACTTCTGAGTTAAGAACCAACTTGAATATTTTTTCTTTTAATTCAAAATCATCATAATTTTTCTTTTACAGAAATGTTTCCTAGAATTATTCCAGTATATTTAAATCTTTTGCTATGTACATGAAGTTCAGTGTTTGTCATTTTTCCTGTTTGTTATTAAAAACTTGCTTCGCGGTTAATGCTTAAGGTTGAAATAATTGTAAGGGTCTAGAATAATCTTTCATGCTTTGTATTATTAGCAGATGCTAGCATTTATAGTTTTTATGATCAACCAGATGATATGTATAAATCTACTTCATGTAAATAAATAATTCTGGAATATTTATTTCACTGATAACAAATGGTATCATTAGCGGAACTAGTTAATGTAATAATAAACCCTAATCAAAAATATGCTTCGTATTGAGGTTAAAAATTAAAGTAATTCTTAATATTCGCTGTAAATTTTGATAATGCAAATAATGATATCAATTCTGCCAATCATCATCAGCAATTCAAGTAATCATTATAATGATGACACCTGGAGAAAATTTAAATTTGGATAATGCAATTAGTGATATCAATTCTGCGAATCACCATCATCATCATTAATTCCAGTAATCATTATCATGATGACATCTAGATAAAACCTTGAGAAGTAAACATAAAATTTCATCATTTAGTTTAAAAAAAAAAAAAAAAGTGCTGAGAAGTGCATTTGTAATGACCATTTTCAGAATTAGTGTGATATGAAGTGATTATAGAAGCTATGCTGCTTCATCTCATTACCGACAGTAATCATTAGCCAGAAAACCTCATCATTTCCTCTCATCCTATTATAAATATAAAATGTATTATTATGTGAATGCTTTGTGTATTTGTGCTAATAATGTCGAATTGTCTGTGCATTGCTTAACTCATTCAATTGCGTACATTTCTCATTTATAAAATACTTTATGGATATTTCAATTCACAAGAGGTAGGTTAAAGTTTATGCTTAAATTTTATTATTATTAATTAGTGTTTTATCAGTTTTTGAATTTCGGGAAAGGAATTGAAAAAGAAAAAAATGAATTTGCTAAAAAACCATTACTGATTTCATTTTCCAACTACACAACTATATATTGCTTTCGTCTCTAAAAATCTTTAGAAATTTGAGACTTATTAATAATTAATTTGAAGTAGGAATGACGCGTCGTTAATTAACATCACACAATATATCATAACTCTATATTAAATTTAAATCCTTTTATTTCTTTTTCGTTCTTTCTTTTTTGAATATGGATCTCCATTTCTCTAAATCTACTTGATTTCCTCCTAACCATCCACTTTTTTGTCCTTTGCTTTCATTGAATGAGTATTAATCATTTTAAAATAAAATAGTCGTTCTTCGAATTGGTTTCACCATATCTTCCTATATCCTATAAATTTTTAAAATAATAATGAATTTTTTACTACTACTATATCTCACCTTTGATTGATACCTTTATTGTGCTTTCAATTTGACTAAATTTTCGCTTTCATATGCTACCACTTTAATTTTACTCATTATGAAGAAAAATAAAAAAAACTTTAGCTATACTCTCATTCACTTCTAAATTCAGATTTCGTTGAAATTTACCACACCATTTCTAGCAAATATTTTGAACTATTAAAATTCATCAATGCAATCGAGAAATAAATTTTTTTTTTTTTTTTTTAGGAGAATTTTTTTTTTTTTGTCCTCATCAGTATACAGATGTCAACTTTTGAACAGCAATGCAGATCTTTTTAACGTTCACTAAAACTTTTATAATCATTTAAAGAGGTTTTATTTTGAAAAAAGAAAATTTCCCAGTCCAACAATATATAATCACATTATTTTGATTAGTGAAAATTTTCCCAAATAATATCATCCAAATTATCCGATTTTATGTGCGATCGTCTCAAAATATTAGTTAATTTTAGTTATTTATTGTGCAGCCAGAAATGATTGGGGAATTTGTGATGGCATCAAATTTTTTTATTTAAAAAATATTATTAAATAATTAATTGCCGATTTAGATATTTAAAGATAATATTTAGATGATAAATACCAACTTAAATATTTCGATATATTTGAGATAATATTTAGATAATAATAAATGAAAATTCTAAATTATATGGAAGCATGATAAGTGATGATAAAAAAAAAGTGATGCTATTTAGTGATTAATCTCCACCGGTAGATCTCGATCCGATCTAATCGTATTTGTACTGTATTCTACTTCCTTTCTTACTTTTGCTTATTTTCTTTGAGCTATTTTAATTTTCTTAATTATCTTAAAATTTTCATCAATTATAGGAGATTTTTCTTTTTCTTGTAGATACTGTTATGTTAGTAAAAATATGATAAGAATGTAAGTATTTTGCACTAAAAATATTCCACTGAAGAATGTATTTCTGTTGAATGGAAGAATCTCTCTCTCTCGATTGAAAAAGAAAAAAAAAACTCTCTTATAAACTAAATTGGCTTATGGCTTCTTCTTTAATACTTTTAGAGAAGATTTTAATACTATTAGAGAGAGAGAGAGATTTAAAGAAAATTATTTTTTAAATTGGATGGAAACTCTTTACTTAGCAAAAAGATTTTGCTAAAAGCAGTGCTTGTCAAATTACTCGTAAGTTACATATTTTACTGAATTGCTTTTTTTTTTTTTTACCTAAATTTGTTTTATTATAGTGACGAAAGAATATGTTTTAAGATGTTGAAAAAGTATTGAAGAAAGTGTTGAAAAATAATAAAAATTTGAAAAATAACAAAAAAAAAAAACGAATTATTTTCAAGAATATAACTTCAAACGGATATTATTTATTTTGAGGAATCAATTAGTTATCCAAGAATTGAACTACATTTTCCGTTAATGTTAAATGTAATTACCGCTTATTCCTCCCACTTCTCTCTCTTTTTTTTTTTTCTAATTTAAAAAGCTAACTAACAGTTGGTCTCAGCGGTGAAATCATTATTATATTTACGTTAATCGTTTAATTTTTATGCTCATGTATTGATGTGTGACCTTTTGAATTTCAGAAAGAGGTCATCAAGGTATCACCAAAATTTTATCATCAAATTATGTTCACTTTCTCACATTACAGGTAGGAAATTACATTATAATGCTTTTTCTTCTTTCTTTTTTTGCATATTTGACAGAAGTTACTAATAAATAATTCCTCATTTTTCGCTCATTCATTATTAATCGTATTTTTTTGATGACAATTTAATAATTCAAATTCAATAAGACTGCATGGAATATTGCTTTAAGTAAAATTTTAGAACGAATTTTTCTTATTTCATAAATGTTTAGATTATTCCTTTCAGTGAATATAATACAATTGAAAATGAAGAAAATTGACACATATGTTTTAGAATTTCTAAAAAAAAAAAAAAGAAAAATGTTGTTGAATAAATATTTTAAAACAGAAGAAGTGGACAATGCAAATATACGATTATAACTTATTACTCCATCTATTATTTTTGTCCTTTATATTTTTTTATTCTTTAATAAAAATTTTAAAAACATAAATAGTGCAAGCGATATTTTTAAATTAAAACAAAAAATACGTAGTTTTAACTATTCTTAATTAATTACACTTAGTTGTATTTTCAACACTGAATAATACACAACAAATTGATCCTATGATCATACTGAAAAGGTACATAAGATCAGTACAAATTTAATTGTACAATTTAAAATTAAAAAGATTGGCAAAAACAATAATTACACTAATTGTTTGTACTAATTTTTCATACTTCATTTATTGCTATCTATTTTGATTTCACAATATTAAGATATGATATTATTTTCATTGAATGACGCTTTTAATTTTAAAAATTAATATTTTCATTTTGTCTTTTCATGTTAAGTTAAAATTTTTCTTTCTACTGTGAAATCAATAGTATCTTAATTCCTCCATGTAATTAAACTTCTTTAGCTAATGATAAACTTTTAATATCACGCAAATTGCCACTATGGAATGAATGGAATGGACAATTGTCCTTTTCTTCTTTTCAGAGCATTCTCAACAAATTGAGAATTTAATTGATACTGATGAGATAAAAATTTAGATTTTCTCTTTCTTTGCACTATAAATCCTCTCTATTTTATTTTCCAATTATATTTAAATTATTTTTTTTTACATAATTCACTCTTAAATTTTAACAATAACTTCTAATCATAGTTTATTTTAAATAAGGTACGGAGTTACAAAAAAAAAAAAAAAAACCGAATCTTTTTATTATTTTTGAAGAAAGTTAAAACTATTTAAGATACCATTTTACAACTGTTATTATATTGCCAAACATTCATAGTCAAAATGAATCCATTTAAGGAATTTCATGTCTTAAACTTTAACTTATTTATTTCCAAGAATCATATTTACTAAGTAAGTATTATTTTTATAGTGTAGGTTTTAGTTTAATAGTTACGTGATACAAACTTTAGTTTAACAGTTACGTTTAATAGTAATACAAACTTATAGTTGCATTTATCGCAAAAAACGTGACGTATGAGATGAACAATACGTAAGTGATTTTTCCGTGTCAGGCATATTTTTATAAGCAGAACTATTTCATATTTATATTTTTAATCTGAATTCCAGCAAAATTAGTATAATTAATATCATGAAAAATATGAAATAATATACAAAATGTTTAATTTGTGATCTCTTAGTTCTGTCAGAATATTTATATAATAATTTTTTATGTTTTTGAGAAAATTTTTATTACAATCA